CCGAGTGACAGGAATACCTTACATAGTGCCAGAACCACAACATTGACCAAAGATACGAGTTCATGATACATAACCTATTACTTTTTTCTGGGGCTAATTCCCCGGAACTTTACATGTACGAGGCACAACCGGAAATATGAAAGCTTATATTTCAATATATATCTTGAATTTTACAAGCGTCAATCCGAATCAACAGTAGAAAATCTCTACGAATGTTTATAATATCGGATTACGTAACTTCGGTGCAAGCTGCAACAACTACAATCAAACATATTTATTAATTCTAGTTCCCTTCATGGCGCGGAAAAAACATTTATACCAAAGCACATCCCCGGGTATTGGCAAGTACAAATTCAACATATTTAAGTAATTAAGTCCGGTAAGCTATCAGTAGGAGTAGCAAATACACAATTCAACTTATCTATTCAGCTGTGGTTGTCTCGCTAAGTTGAAATATTACATTAATTTACGCCGATGAACATTCACTATATTATTTACAACATAAAAAAATCAATCACATCAATTTCCACACAAGTGGCCATTTTTAAAATATATAAACACAAATATACAGCCTTATATCTTAAATATAAGATCAGACTGTATAAGGCTTAAACAACGACGCTGTGTGTGTGCGCGCGCGTGCGTGCGCGCGCGTATGCTTGTACGTGCGCGTGAGCTGTTCGTGTTTACATAAATTGAATACTTTCCTTTATGATTATTTGTTCAGTTGTTCTTTGCCCCCCCCCCCCTCAATCTCTTTTTAACACGCACCATTATGAACTTTTTCTTTAACCTGTAAGTTTGTATTGTATTAACTGCAGTATACGATTTTATTAATCAATTAACTCAGAAAGATGTCGCAATATTTCTAACACCTCTTACCCTTCTTTCAAGCAGTGCTTATAAAGAATGAAAATGAGATATAATTAAATATGAAATACAAAATATTCAACTCGCTTCTCTTCATTGCCTTTATTTGTGTTATTTTCCATCCGGCGATTGATAAATTTATGAATTTAAGATTGAAAACTAACCTAAATAATTAGCACATTTTAATACCGCTTAAATGTCATTAACATTCATAAGGCGCTACATCTATGAAAAGTGAACAATTAATATTTCTGTTAACTAAGTAATTGAGTTATAAAGCTATTAAAACGGATTGCACCTAGTTATACTGTTAAAGTTTTTTAATTTAGATCGATTTTTAAGATATTTGGTAAAAATATAGTATGTGCAATACAATTTTTGAAACAAAGGACTATCAAGCAAATCACAATAGCAAAACATTTTTCTTTTGTTTAAGCCGTCGATGTGTTAACGAATCATTAAGCATTTAAATGGGTTGGGCCATTTAATGACGCAACCACTGACTCGTAAACGGTTTCGTTCATTCTGTAATCAAGTCATTATCCTTTCAATAAATCATTCATTTTTGAAACAAACACACGTCGTTCAATTTGGCAAAAGTCCATCCATATAAACAAAAAGAGTATAGAATAACTGATCTTTGCCATTACTTATACTTTATTGTTTAACACTTTTGTATGATATATCTTTAAATCTGTGTATGCTTCGTGAGCACTTTTAAATTTGGCATTTAAACTTTAACATGGAATCTTTTCAGGACATATAATATCATTCAACACAATACATTTTTTTAAGATACATTGACGTCAATAATTTCTGAACAATAAAAAATTTGTTTTTAGGAAACATTTTCAGCTATAAATGAACCTTTTTTAAAGGTACGCCAGATATAAACTTATGTAAGTAACGACGCTAATAATTTTAATGCAGTAGCTGTATTTTAGCATAGTTGTCTTGTAAATAAAAAACCAAAATATTAGAAGATATAAAAACTTATTAAGCCATTTCATTTATATAGTATTCAGAAAGTACATATTTTATTTATTCATTATTTACCCGAATATTCAAATGATTACAAATATTTTAAACAATAATTACTGATGATTTATTTATTCTGTTCAAATACCGTGAAGACAGAACTTTTATATTTCAACTATAACTTCTTTCATTTAAGGTGTGACCCCCATAGGCACTATAAGGCACTGTAAAATTAAAGAATTTGGTCGGTTACATACCCTAAAGGATACCTGTATGCAACATTCAAACAACAAATACCGTAAGATCTACGAGTTGTGCTAAAGCTTGGCTATTAGAAGGTCTCTTTTTCAGGAATGAGGAAACTATATATAATTTCTAATATCATCATCTGAAAAAATGTTTTTCTTTTGATCATGGTTAGGGAACAAATAATAGCATCACAGAATAAAGATTATTTATACTCAAAACTGTTTGAAATACGAGGGATGTTCGGAATGTATTGCTTATTTCTATCTGGAGACTTCAATTTTCAAGTTAGTTCAAAAATGTGCATTTCATTCCCTTGGCTAGAAATGCAAAGTTTCAGCCGATGTATCCACTTCTTGAAGGCGTCACGGTACGTCAATTTGGGCACAGTAATAAGGTACTGATTAATGGCAGATCCAAGTGCCTGTCGGAACTTGTATTTCCGCCCAGCAAGGAAGGATTTCAATTTCGGAAACAAAAAGAAATCACATAGGGCAAGGTCTGGAGAATACGGGGGTGAGGCAAAACACTTACTTTGACAGTTACTTTTTCTTTTTTCAAAACGCCGAAACTTTTGCGGAGGTATGAGCTTTGGCATTGTCATGTAGAAGACGGATATGCTTAAAACTTAAGAACTACGTCTTTGTAGTACTTCCCAGTGATACTTTTGCCCTTTTTCACCGGCACTTTTATTGCGACTTTGTTGTGTTTAGTGGCCCAGATTTTGTTGCTAACTGACGGGCTCAAAATAATGGACACAAGTTTCATCACCTGTGACTACATTGGCAAACTGTTTTTGTCATGTTTTGAAAACATTTGAAGCCTTAACCCGTTGCTTCTTTTGCTCATCAGCACTCATCTAGCAGAAATCTTTCTGACTTTCAAATGCTTCTTCAAAATAAAGTGAACCATTGATAGTGATATGCCTACCTTTCGTGCAATATCACGAACTGTAAATCTGGCATCTCCTTCAATGATACCCTTTATTTTGTAAATGATTTCTTTACGAGATGCAGACTTTGGCCTACCTGATTTTGGTTCATTTTTGATGCACTCTACACCAGACTCAAATTTCTTTTTCCATCGCCTAACTGTCTCATAAGACACAAAAGAAGGTCCATTAGCAGTAGAGAGTTCAATCTTCAACTGCTTCAAAGAGCAATCCAGTTTTCAGCGAGCTTTGATGTAAGCCCGCATTTCATCTTTTTTGTCGACGCTTCTACCAACCATTTTTACTACAGTGGTCAATGACTGCGTGTATGCAAATGACAAATTGTATGTCTTACACTTAGTCTAACATGTACATTGAATCACCGTTGTGTAGGTATTGAATTACCCTATAAAGGTATGTATTGATTTTATCGTGTCCCAGGTGGATCACGAGATAGAGGACAATAAGCAATTCTTTTCAAACAGCCCTCGTATGTATGTATAATAATGTCATCACTATCCCACCGATTTTTTTAACACTTTTACCTAAATACTTTAAGGAGAAGAATTTTATAAGACTTAGTCTTTCGTTTTCATCCTTTTCTTTGAATATATTATATATTTGTATTCTGATTGTATTGTATTATGTATATCATGTAAATATTCGGGAAATAAATATGTTTATATCACTTGTTTTTTCTTTCTAATAGGGATCTGAGATATATATATAAATAGTGTTAAAAGAAAACAAAAGAGAACACATTTCCCCTTTTATGAACCCATGCCCCTCAGTAACAATGAAGTTGCCATTAATTATTCGGTAAAACAATGAGAAAACTTTTTGCCTTGAATAATTCTAAAAAATACATCCAATTTTAAGAAAAATACAATATCATGCAAATGGTAGATGACAAGGAAGAATTCCCCATAGCAGTCTATCTGCACATGACACGTAAAGAGGTGTCCCATAGATGACTATCTGCACAATAACATCGTATGACAATTGTCACGGATAAGAATTGTGCAATTATTAGGGGAGAAAATGTGCAAGCGGTCGGATATCTCAGTCCAGTCGGTAGAGCCGCGGAACGATATTCCGAGGGTCCCTGGTTCGAGGTCCGGTCAATACAATATATAGTTTCCGAGATGAGAAAGGATTATCTTCTTAAATGAACATCAAAAACATGTTCAAACAGATGTGTATGTGTATATATGATGGATGACAATTCTTATGAATAAAGAGGACGGAGAGATAGGCAAAAGATAATGAAGAAATATACTCAATGTTTAATTGAGCGTCGAATTTTTGTGCGATACACAGTCCGGTTGGAATTTAAAGATTCTGGATGATTTTCATATTTGGGCTTTAAAAACGGAACGAGCTAATGATGTAAAATTTTGCAGATCGCATCAATTTGTGCGTAAATCTTGAAAAGTATACTAGTATTCAGTCCCCTTATGTCAAAATAAATAAGATGTGTTCCTTAAATATTGTTGAGATTTTCGAATTAAAATGCATAACTATTAAAAAATGTCTGATACTCTGACTTCAAGATCGTTTACAAAATCAAATTATGTAAGTTGCTTTTACACAATTTAAAATAGGTATGTTTGTACTCAGGCCTGAAAGTCTTCCTGTAGATCTTTACTATATGTAACATATAATGAACAAAACATATAGGGTTGAACAAGATTCAAACATAAAAACACCGTTAGATTTAAATTTGATCACATTGTCGTCAAATCTAGCAATACTTTTGTAATACGTACTAGCGTGTGTGTACCATGCCAATCAAATCACTGTGAGTAGATTGGCATACTTAAAGTTCAGGCCCATATGCTAACCTGAAAACTGACAATGTCCAATAAAAGTCCACTGGATAATGAATTTCAATATGAGTTGTTCTAACGCATTTTTATGATCTCTGTTTAATTATTGTATACATAAAGAAATTATGTTATGAATGTATTTTTACCGTGTGAACTTCTTCTATAATCCATTTTCAGTGTTTAGAAGCAATGGTTTTGATATTCTTCAACTCGAAGATGTTTCATACATGATCATCACAAATGTTTGTGTTAAATAAAATACTTCAATGGTCACCCAACGCTCGTTAGAATATTGTCTAACAACATTTAGTACAATATATATTTCCTTCACAGCTTTTGAATTTCAAATATTTTAAACATACTTGTTGTCAAAATTATATTCGTTTAACGGATGAATAAGCCGCTTGCCTATTAGCCAATGAAAATTCAAAGACAATACGATAAAAATTGCTATATATAGGTACAATACATATGAATCAATCAATGAATAGCATGTTGTTATTTATAGGTACATTACGTAGGAATAAATTAAAGAGTGTCTCGTTTCTATTTTGCTTTGTGCAAACATATGTGCTCGATTGGTCATGAATGTTCTTTTGTTGTTGTTTTTTATTTTTATGTGATAAGTCTAATGCACTGAACTGGATACAACTCCAATGAACATACCCGTTTTTAAACGCTTTGAGATTTTAATTTCGTAAATGTTGTTATTTTTTTCAATTTATTTTTATATTGTTATTCATTTTCCTTGCATTTTAGTCGTCTGTTTCTAAATATATTGTTATACATGTTATACATACACATTGTTGTTGACAAATTAAACCCAAAATTTTATGTTCTTTATGTATTGCCACTTTATAGGCAAATTGTTTAAAATCCAACGCTATTTTGTACACTTGATGAGCATCTAACATGGTCTGGATCTTAAATTTAAATACTTTACAACACAAGATACTATTAACACATGTTGATTTTTTTTTCAGAGGAAAATCGTATCAATTTCTGAGGATTAAGAATACTATTGTGAAAAATGTTTAAAGTTTCATGTATTTCAATAAGAATTTCAATAAGTCAGTGCCTTACTTTTTACATCTAACAAAGTAGGATGTGACTTAAACTACCGAAATTACATATGAAAAAGAATCTGGCATCTTTACTTGTTACTACAAAATTAAAATTGCAAAGTAGTACCGTATCAGTATACACAATTTCACGACGAAAACTATGACTGTATAATGAAATGTTTAAAATCGTAGCTGGAAGGTGACGCAACAGTGTATACATATAGAGTTATTATGAAAAATAAGAATACAATATATAAACAGCAATGGAAAAATGATGTTTGACTTTTTACTAAATCACAATTATTTGTCGTATATCAATTATTGTCTTAATTAAATTAATTTAAACTATTCGTGGTGTAAATTTATTGTAATTTTAAGTAACACCTGTCGGCCATTTTCGTGAGGACCAGAGATTTATTATTCATCATTTAATGATATTTGCAATGTGTTTTTAAGGCTTAAATATATTTATGATTTTTGTGAAATAGATAGTTGCTTTATAGGCTTTTGATATGGTCTATGATACCTCAAATGTATTTGATTTCCCTTGTTTATCGGCTGGTTCATTCCATTGTTAAACTTTTTCAGTATTTTCAATTCTATAATGCTTTGTGGTGTTTTTTTTTAAACCAAATAAAATTTACTACATTTCCAATTATCTACACTGAATTGCTTTCAATAGAATATAAATATGGTTGACTTTATGTTTGTGTCTAATATGGAACAAATCATAGGTCTATCATGATCAATTTAATCATTACAATCAGATAATTGAAATTTACCATTGTATTTGATCGAAGTTACCGAGTCGTTTAATTTCCTTTTGTCTAAATATTCACGCGATACCATAAATAAATGCCTATACAGTTATAAACCAACCTTTTGTTTTACTTTATTTCTTTGTTTTTTAAGTCAATACCATAAAGAAATACCTTAGCCATTCACCAATTTTTTTCTTTTCTTTTCTTCTTTGGCAATTAATTTGTACGCACCTTCCCCCCCCCCCTCCCCACGACCCAAGCAACACAGGAATAAAAACAGTAAAGTACTTTAAAAAGCGGATGAATAAAAAGATGTCGTTTCGATAATTGTATTATTATCTTAACAGTTATATTATGCTTAACCCATTACCAGATATATACGCCTTTCTACGCCTTTTTCACCCCCCCCTTTTTGCTTTCTCAAATGGTGAAAAATGCTTTCTCAAATGGTGAAAAAATGCCTTATTTAGGCCCCCAAACACTTGTTTTTGTTTGAGAAATGTTGTTTAAAAAATTGACCTCTTTTTCGGCGCGGCCCCCCATCCAAAAGATACATCAGGGGGTTGCCAGAAGGGGGATATGCCCCCTTCTGTTTGGGGGGGTTGAAGGGGGGGCGGAGTCCCCCTCATCGCCGAGAAAATTTTGGACTTGTGAGAGGCTAAAAATGGTCCCAGGTCGATCATAAGGTAACGTGTAACCAATGCTGAAAAGCCGTTGACTCTATCTCATTCCATTGAGAAGTGGCAGCACTTTGAAATCAATTTTTGATGGAAAAAATCAACGCAAAATAGTGATTTTTGGCAATTTTGAGATGTCCCCTAGTTGCCATGGTAACAGGAAAATTTCAGACTGAGCATGTTGTTACAAAGGCAATGGTCCAGTCAACATTTGTGCCAAGTTTGATTAGTATTGAAGCAGTTTTTATAGTTTTATAGCAACTTGAACTTGTAACGGGAGACTTTTCAATGAAAACAGCCATTTTTCACAAAATGCTCATGGGGTAATGGGTTAATCAAAACCTTCCTAAAGTTTTTTTTCTAAATTTAAAGCATGTTTTGAAATAATAATAATTAACTGAAGTTGAAATCGAAAATGAGATAATTAACATACAAATATTCGAAACCACTAAGCTTGCACCTATTAGGCTATTTCCAAGAAAGGTTAACGCCTCATAAGCTAGCTAGATGTTTTTATTGTTATTTGTTGCGTTTAACTTAGCAAACGCATCATATTTCTAAAACAATAGTTTTATAATGATGGGCTCTTTTATTTTCTATTTTTAGGCTCAGAAATAGTTTACTTTTCTAAAATAGAGAAAAAAATCCCTAAAAGTGCAAATTACCGCGTCCACGTCCCCTAGCACTGGCTTATGCAGAATTCAACATTGAAACACGAAAATGGTGTAATTTTGAATTTAGAAACCTCCACAGTTGCACAGTTACGATTTTTTAATTAGGGATATCTGGTTGCCAAAACCAAATTAATCTTTAATTCCTAGACCTAATTAGAATTGTGTTATCTACAAATTATAACCAACTACACCATATGTAACATATATGGCCCTTTATAGAGCAATAACCTGTATTAAACAGCGGTATAATTGTCCCTTATTTAACTCAACCACTTTTAAGCAACACTTTTATCAAGTATACTGTATTCAAAAGAAAAGAAATACAAAACGAGTATGCTGTACAGCACAAACTACTGAATGAACTATTTTACTTCCCCAATGATGACTGTGGTCGAGACAAAAAGAAAGAAAATTAAATAAGGAATGTCTTATTAACAATTGTAATTCTATGGTATTCTAAGATGTGCTATATGCTATTGAAATGTTACTTTAAGCAAATAATGTTAAAGGTTACTCTACTGAGTTTTTTTTTTTTTTTTTTTTTTTTTTTTGTATGGCGTGACTGGAATATAAATGTTTCATTTGCTGTAGGTCCAGACCGATAGTGGTGTGCAAATATTCGGATCATTTGTTTCTTCAGTTTTACCACAATAATAATTGTTATTGTAAAAAATGACCCAAAATTGGAAAGCGCCGCCACTCTTTTCTCTCAATGGGATAAGAATAACACAACAATATGATTTTCAATTGTTTCTAGGTATATTTCTTAACCATTTTTCTGTTTTAAGTGCCTCCTTAAATTACGATCAATGTAAAATACTCAAATTTGTTTTTATGCTTTTAGACATCAGTGGAGTTCTAGTTGTTCAAGATACAAATATGATAAGTTATGTTTTGATTTAGATACAGGCAAACTATTTGATCGGATATTATTGTCCTAAAAATTTGACCTTCCTATTTTGCTTACATAATCCAATCGTTTTTTTTAAGACTGGAACATCTATGCTAAATATTATTTTACGTTTTTCTTCTATTTTAAGTAAATACTAGTTTACCGGTATTTACTTCAAATGCATCGATCGCACAGTTTATAAGAATGTCGCAAAAAGTCATGCCGTTGGTGTGAATTCGAGAAAACTTGGACCTATTGTTGGAATACATAAAGAAATCCCATAGCGACAAAGTTGGAAATTTAGCATCTTCGGTTTGAGTCTGTGTACTATCGCACCTACGGAAGCTTATCAGGGTTTCCACTTACCTAAAAGTTTCACATCATGTCAACTTGTTTCTTCTCGTTTTGACCAAAAACATTCCAAGAAGACGTTATGATTAATACGTAATACGTAGCAGTTTTCAGTCATTGCAAAAACTTGAATTACGTGAGCTATTTGTCAATGCGAGTAACGTCTTTGCGTCTTACTGAATATTTCAGCAAAGTCATGAAATCAAGAAGTTTCGACAGGATTTTTGTGCTTCAAGCATATCGAGAAAAAATCAGTTGCAATGCCTAAAAGCTTTTTATCTTTGTCAGTAAATTTTATTGAAAAATGCAAAAAAAATATTATCAATGCAAATAAAAATAAGTTGACTTAGTGCAAAACATCTCACCAACTGTAGGCCCTGATACGCTTCCGTACGCACGATATCAAGACAAGAAACACAATATGTCATTTTAGTTTAATGTAAATGTCTCCTTGAGTTAATAAAGCAGAAATTGAACTTATCTACGGAAGCTTCAAAGGGTCACCTTTTACGCGATCTTTTGTGAGAAGATTTACGCAAGTGGAAAAAATTAAGGCGCAAAGGCATGATATTGTCAGTGTTTTCGCAAAAAATAATTCGAATAAACGAGAAAATTCTAGCTAATTGGCCAAATATTTTGTTGCATAAAACAGAAACATTGCACATGACGAGTAATATTTTGACGAGAAATTAATAAAAGGTCTTTTTCGAGAAACATGTAGACGCAATACGTGATACATTTCACTTTCTCGAAAAAAATTGTGACGCAATACCTAATACATTACACCTTGTCGCAAAAACTTTTGATGCATTACCCTAAAACATTTCATTTGATGAAACTATTTTTTGCGCAATTCCTAAAGTGTAGTCTGGTTTTCGTTATATTCTTGTCGAGAAATGCTATATGGTTTTTATTCAATATCCAGCCAACATGACATCAAAGTTATTATG